AACATTCGACAAAGTACATGATAGTTCTAGAAACGTTGCGTCATAGTAGTCACGTGACTCGCTGACGCAACAGAATTTAGAATCACATAGTATTAATAATGACAAAAAGGAAGATAAAAAACAGACCAACACCTTTGTGTTTCACGTCATGTTTGATACAGAATTAACTGTCACTTCTATTTCAAGCGTCTGCTAGGTTTATAAATCTGTAATACTAGTTTTCAAAACAATTAGGAATTATAAATGTTAAACATCTGTTGTAAGTTTTACTGGTGCTTATTGTCTTAAAACCAATTAATCTAATAAATCAAACAGGTAGTCCTATACTTGTATTCGTCAGTTTCATTTTTCTGTACATGAAAATCAACTCTTTCCTTATAAGATAGGTGTCTCCTACTGAAAGGTAATTTCGCATTTTGTATTCCTTACATTTAAACAGATGTACGAAATAAAGTTTATTCATGTGGTTGGGCCATCAGTTTACTTTTTATCAAGCACAAAACGATAAGTAGAAATTTGTTTGAGCGTTATTAGTGACATTTTTATCATCATGTGAGACTCAAATCAAATGTATTAAATATCACAACTTTTCCTCGCTGTTCTTTGTTTATTGTTCTGTAGACCATTATATATACAGTATACTGTATTTGTGAGAGGAAAAAGGGAAGAACGTTTTCACAAAACTAAAGATATGTACATATAACTGTACTGGTTGTGTCAGTAACTTTTAATTTTCGTTTCACTTCTTCTATCAATTTTTCAAGTGACGATTGCTTGTATTTTGCTGTTAGCTTATCATTGTCGGTATACTATTAAGCTAAGTTAAGTAGATTTACCGCGAATACATCCCTTAGGAATTTAGTATTTCTATGGAATAGGGAGAAAGTTTAAAATGAATGAAACATAGTTACAAGTGAGTAGTTTTCTTATTTCAGACTGATACTACTAGTTGTTTCAGATATTAGCATGAAACTACACAAATGTTACTTGCATTAGCCGTTCCTAATTTTGAACTGAAAGACTAAAGGGAAGACAGCTAGTCAAGAGCATTCACTGCAAACTCTTGGGATATTCTAATCGAACATTGGAATCTGGCTGATAGTCTTATAATACACTCAGGACAATGGTACGCGAATAATTGACCCTTGAGGTATTTTTAGGTAAAAACTGCTAATTTTCCTGACAAGTTTCAGATAGACGGATAAGCAAATATCTACAGATTCGTTCAGGAAATGAGTAGAATTATTCTGATCAGATAACGTAATTGAGTCTTCCTGGTATGTGTAAAATAACGAGACTGGACAAAGTTGGTAAAATGAAAATATTTTTTATTCATTGGAAAATATAAAGAAAACACAACATATATGCTTATTTACAAGAAAATACATTCCCTTCTATTAGGCTGTGCTTAGTCCCACAGCTTTCTTTCTCTTGAAATAGACTTCCGGCGGACCATACATGATGATCTTAAAAATGGGTTTTTACTCCATAACCTCCTTGTAAAACTGAATCAAGAGAATGCACCTGAATTCAACAAGTAAGCTCGTTTTCTTTTCCGGAACAACAGTATTGCCTCATAGACTTTGTTCTCCTATAGCATTTGTCAGCTGTTACATTTAGTTAACGTCATATTCGGACAGCAAAGGATATTACAATGCTAATCTTATCAATCCAGAGGCTATATGTTACTGCAGTATCCTCTTGGGCAGAATTGACATCTCTTACTATAGCGAACAACTAAAACAATGTAATCTTAGTGACATTCTGGACCATAGGCTGCTGTCATTACAGCACAGAAATTACATAACCAAAAAATTTCCAAAACTTCTATGTATCTAAAGCAGATAAAACAAAAACAACAACAAGCATATGATTTACTTGCATATCACACTGTCCTCCTTTCTGTCTTTCAGGTTTGTCTCAAGCCGAGAATTAAATGTATCTTTAAAATCAATTATCTTTAAACTCTCGACATAGTGAAGGAGCTAGCTAACTTTACTTTAATCCTAAGAATACTTACACGTCAAACACAAAAATGAATCACACTAAACTACAAAAACATAAATCCCTTAACGAAAATTTAAATATTCAAACATTACCAAAACTTTAATAATAGTAAAAACATCTACACAAAAACCTTAAACAAAGTTAAAAACACATTTTAACTTCACGGGCACACTATATTTTTCAATAGTGCATTCCAGGTCCTTTACCACAGTTAACCTCATATTCATCAATTTAAGTCGAAATCAAATCCTTTGCCTCTATGCTTTCGCTGTTTCCTTATTTCGTTCTTGTTTTTTTTTATTATTTATAACTGTTCTCTATGTGTGGTTGCTTAATTTTGTTTTAATTTGTCGGAAGCATGTATGAAGGACTCTGTGAAATGTTTTCAACACAGGCGTGTTTGTTTAAATGTGTATGTTGCCATACACATATGCCGTCACTATGCGTTTCACATCCTCTAGTAATTTATACATCTTGTCTCTGGCTACTGCATGAAAACTTTCAGTAACTTTTGAGTTATCTCCAGAAGCTATGTTCACTAGCGACAATAGTGTCATCTAGAGACTATATAACTCATTTTTTATTTCAGTTTACACAAAATAAATGATCACTGGTAATATTCAGACGAATCAAGCCCTTTGAGCTATTTACCAATATCACAACTCGTGCTATCAGTACTGTACTCCAATGTACATCCTGGAAGAGCTGGACTTTCTTGTTAATCATAGATCCAGCATTTTCTCACGAAGACCGAGGAAAAATCAAAGGAGCACTGGATGATATACTCTGCAAAATTCTCAGGGTGATTTTCGTGAAACATGGGATTGTCTTAGCTCTGGAGATCAAGCAGTACGGCCAGTACCCCAACAATGTAGTACGTATACTGTATTCCACTAATGCTCGATGGCTCAGAAAGCAAGGGGTTGTGATACCGTTTCATTAAGTAATTTTTCAACCACTTGGCCATTCTAACTTGGATGGCAGTCCTTAAATGTAATCTGTACATTCTACTAGACCTTACTACCTGATAGCTTAGAAATCAAGGAACGCTATTTCCTTTCAGGCATTAGTTTCGTGGACTAAAGATAGTCTTAGCTTTGAAGATTGATCAGTACCCACACAATGTCAAATAGAGTGCCTATAGTGTACTTCCATTACCACTCGATGGCTCAGAAAGGAAAGGTCGGTGACATCCTTTCAGTCATCTTTCAACCTTCTGACCATCATTCAAGGCTCAGAAAGCAAGGCTCGCCACACCCTTTTGGACAGTAGTCTTACAATTATCTGGCCATTCTAGAAGTCATGATCAAACCGAAATTGCTTCTTGTTTTAGTTGCTTTGCTCTTCATAGTAAGATATGTCTATTCTACCTGAGAAGATATTCCAGTATGATATAAAATCCAATTCAAAAGGATTGACACTGTATTATCCTTTTCTGGTCAAGCTTGATGTTGACTAAATGTAACAACTAACCAATGATGTGGGAGAACAAAGGTCACAAGGTGACACTGTTGTATAGATAAAGAAGGCGAACATTTTCTGAGCAATTCTACTAAGATATTGTAAAGTGAAGATTCAATTTTTTTCAAGATCAATGTGTTTATTTTGACTGTAGTCTATCCGGAGAAAAAGAAAGCTGTGAGACTAAGCATAGCCTAAAAGAAGCAACTGTTTTTTTAGTTTGACTAACTTTTTCCAGTCTTATTGTTTTGCACACACTATGAAATCTCAGTTATCTGATCAGAATAACTCTCCTAGTTTCCTGAATGAATCTGCTGTTATTTGCGAGTTTGCCTA